TACCACTAACTCTGTTCAATGACTTGGCAAGATATTTAACCCCTTTGTGTTCACATTTCAGCGTTTGTGACACAGAGGTAAAAATCAGTCATTAAGAGTATAACAACACACTCCTCAACAGCTCTTAGACTAGTACAAGATCTCAATAAATGTTAGCTGCTATCCTTATCCTTAGTACTCATGCTAAACCTTTGTTCTTATTTTGCAAAGGAAAAATTCATGTTCTTTCACTTTAATCTAAATGTAAAAGTCCATTTTCATGACAAAACAGTCTCTTTTCAGTTTATCAGTACATTTTTCAATACACATTTCCCTCTTTAACTTAAGGTAAAACATTTTCTGAGGAACTTCCTTAGAATGTATTTTTTAAACTCTGATTTTTCACAAATTTTTGGTAAAAATGCTTGTAGGTTGAAAACATTTCCAAAACAAACCACAGTTCATCAGTTTCTCTCTCCCACCATCAAGTCAAACAATTTTGGAACACAGAGTTCTGGAATACTGTCCATAATATATTTATAAATAAATTTATAAACTTGTTATTTCTGTGATGAGGATTGTTCATGCTTTTTATTTCACAAATTATTCAATTATTTAACAAATTTTTATTGAGTCCCTTCTGTGTGTCAGATGTATGTTAATACATTGGAGGCACAGAAGAAACACACATTCCCTATACCGCCATAGACTCACAGAGAAATGCACCAGTAAACGTGCTTGTTCTAAACCATCTTTTTTCCTCTCTGTAATAGCTCAGCCAAACAGCTGCAGCCCCCTTGATCAGTCACTAATGGATGTTTGTGCCTGCAGTTGGTCCTTCTGTGTATAAAACGGGAAGGTTTGCACCAAGTGCAGGCTCCTCCCAGAGAAGCCCTCAGCCACAGCACAGACCTGGAGATGTGGCCTCAGAGCCTCACCCTTCAAGATGAAGTCTTTTTAATAAACTGTCCAAGAGAATATCTCTAACACTTTATTTTATGAACTTTATGAAATTTTATTTTTAGCAGAAGAGTTTTATTTCCGCCTTTGTTTTCTCTATTTAATAATAATAAAAATAGTTATCCTGGAGGAATGCCCCCAGTCAGAATTCATTACTTTCCTCAGGGAAATTGTTGGAGGCAAAAATGGCATGGAGCTATTTAAAAAGATAATCTAAGCTCTCTAAGTTCATGTTATAGAAGATTCACATATATAGGAAGCAATTACAAAATGTATGTGAAAGCCAAATAAAGATAATTTCCAATATCCTTATTTTATGTTTTTTATATAGCACTGACAGTGCTTTGTAGTACTGATAGTGTCTACTGCCTGTCAAGTCATATACTAACTGTTTTAGAGGCAAAGTCTACAAAAAGGAGGAGGGCTGGGGATTTAGCTCAGTGGTTCTGCCGCCTGCCTCTGAAGCATAGGGACTCGAGTTCGATCTCTGGTACCAAAAAAACAGAAAAAAATTTTTAATTTAATTTTAAAAGGAGGAAAAGTGTTGGGCTTCTGTAAGAAGGGGCAAGGAGGCATAAACCATAGTCAGTCAGTCAGCACTGGAGCAGAAATTGTGCAGAACCCTGACAGGGGAGCACTCAGGCTGCTTTATGGAGGCTATTATATTTTAATTATTTAGACTGTAGTCAGGACCCCAGATCAGCCAGATAGAAATGAAGGTATCAATCAGTACACTTTGTATTACATGTAAACAGTATCAATCACTGATTAACTCATTTTTCCATATTTTTTAATTGCACTGAACAATTACGTTACATCTTGTGGCCATATCTATACGCTTACTTTCTGAATGGCCATCTAGCCATATTCAAATCTAGGCTGTTAATAATCCTGTATCCTGTGCCAGTGACTTCACAGAGTTCCTGACCTCTTCTCTCTGTGCCATCATTGAGTGAAAGCTGCTCTATTTGGGGCAGGCAAGGGCCAGGAGGACAGTTCAAATTGCTTGGCTTTCCCTGCCTGTGTCATGCTAGCTTCATCTGTTTTAACCTCCTTCTTCCCAGACCTTCCACTAACTGTGTTATCCCTTTTGTTCCCTCTGTTCCCTTCCCTTTCTACTCAACAGTGTTTCCTTCCACAGAGCCCACTCATGTTTAAAGATCAGATGCAACAGGATGTGATCATGGTGCTGAAGTTTCCATCTAATTCTCCGGTAACCCATGTGGCTGCCAACACCCTTCCCCACCTGACCATCCCTGCAGTGGTGACAGTGACCTGCAGCAGACTGTTTGCAGTGAATAGGTGGCACAATACAGTAGGTACGTGGCCCTGAGCAAGGCACTTCTAAAGAGTTAAGAAGGTGTGCTGGCATAGCTCACAGTCCATATTATTTACAGGATACCAGCAGAATAGATCACTGATCTGATCTGTCTCACTCACTGCAGCTGTGTTAGTGGCTCACAGCAGGCCTGGTTCTTGATTACTAGTACAGTGATAGTACAGTTAATAGTACAATTGCCTTGCAAACTTTCACAGGTACACTGTGTCAGACTTTGTTGGCTTACAAATGAATACAACTTAGCAACAATTCTCCTGGAACTCATTCATAAGTGGGGGACTTACTGTACCTACTTGGTTAATGGGAGCAGTTTTGCAAATACTTCAGGTCCTCCCACTCTGTTCTATCACTGCATCCCTCCCCAACTTCACTTTATCACATATTAAACAAAAGTGAGTTTGAATTTGGATTTTTCAGGTAATCTCTTGAAATCCTCTCTCTTTCTTCAGCATTTTTTTTTAGTGAGTATGTGAGACCATTATGTATGTATCAAGTAGACTTAAGCACTCGAAATCCCACAGCAGTGAACAAGACAGACACCATTGTGGGGCATATCTTTTGAGTGATTTCACATGTGTTTTCTCCAAACTCTTCTCTGAAAATTTTAGCTAGTACATCTTGAAGTGATATACTGCTGTCACAGAAATGTAGACATATTGCTACTTCTTTAACCAGAGCAGAAGTGGATGTGACCAAATGATTTAGTTGGTCCAGATCTTACTGGAAGCGCCAGGACTCCCACTGTCTCCAGGACTGAACAGATGAGCCATGCTGAATTAACCCAGATCTTGCTTTTCTATTGACTTCTCCCTTACTCTGAAAAGACAGTGATTTGTACCTTAGTTTTATCTCCCAAGAGTTTCTCAATGTACCTATTTTATGGCTATTGGTGATTTATCAACATGGGGTAGCAGTGCTTCCATTCAGTCAGAAGTATGCAGCACATATTTAAGGAAAAATATATTAATTTCATTATTCACAGGAGTCTTAAACTCTAAAAATGTTTTGCACTGAGAGAAAACTATAAAAGGCTGAATTTTTCTTCAAAATTGATCAAAAGTATTACTTTATAATCACAGGTGAAAAATTAGGACTAATTAACTAAGGCCTAACAGTTAATCCCCTGAAAGTAGCTTTTAGTGCAATTAAGATCTTAAGTGTGACCCATGTTTATACCTTCATTTATCAGATGACAAACTGAAAGAGCAACACTTGGGTGGGAAGCCCAGCTTCTTCACTGTCCTGCTCTAGAGAAGCCTGGTTCCTGCAATCACCATTTCTGCCTGGAACCATGGCCTTTTGTTAGATTTCAGGGTTATTGGTTGGTTACCTGGTGACCTTAGCTTTCTGAGTTCAAGAGATGTTAAGATCCTCAGTTTTATCCAGCTTTTTATCACTTTTTCCAGCTTTCTACATCTTAAGTAAAACTTGAAATCTCTCGTGATGATTTTTTAAGATTGTCTCCAAAATCCCAACATATGACTGAACCATCTTTTAAATAATCTGCCAAATTTTAAATCAGTATGTATTTTGTGCAATCATCATAAAACAGTGTTTGTTAGAAAATTCTTTTCTGTTAATTTTATAGTAATTTTTCTGTCTCCTGAAATATTTAGGTCTCAGAGGAGCTCCAGGATACTCCTTGGATCAAGCCCATCATCTTCCCATTGAAATGGACCCATTAATTGGTATATTTATAAACAAAATTTTAACTTCATGGACACTGAGTGTTCACATATTCTTATGTGGCTGTTTTTCGTAAAAGATAGTTGAATAATATTTTTTCTGCTGCAAAAAATGTGCAAATAAAACCTAATTATCATCAAAGAGTTGTGCAAAAACACTGTTATCAAAAAGCTGTGCAAATAATAATATGCCATCTGAGAACTTTTTGCTATTAAAGCAATTATTTGTCATCCTCTTATTATTTTAGGTGACTTAAATTTATTATAAACAAAGTAACTAGTTATAAACTGCTCTGTGTTTCAGCCTAAAGTATTCTGAACTCAGTAGCATTTAAAATACAGTACAAGGATTCAAAGAGAGTATTAAAGGATATTAATACTGAAAAAAATTTTTCCAGAAATGTGTTTGACAAAGTTTAACTTAAAAAAATTAGCATGAATTTTCAACTCTGAAGCTATAATTGAGCTATAATTGTTTGTGACAGATATTTAAAATACTTTAAATAAGCACATATACTTATACATAGTAGTCATATGATCCAGAGCAAGCCCCTTTAATCTTTTTTTTTTTTTTTTTTTTTTTTTTTTTTTTTTTTTTTTTTTTTTTTTTTTTTTTTTTTTTTTTTTTTTTTTTTTTTTTTTGGTACTGGGGATCAAACTCCAAGGCAGACAGTAGAACCACTGAGCTAAATCCCTAGCCCAAGCCCTTTTAATCTTTCTAGGCTTCTCAGTGTCATATATATGGGATGGTTTATAATAATGTTTATTCTATACATCTTGTAGGATCATTTAGAAAATTAAATTTTAAAAAACCTGAAGCTGCTTTGAAAATTATTAAACTATATACAAATTATGTTGTTTACTGTTAGATTAATTCAGCTTTCACTTTTGAATTGACAGAGAAAAGGTGTAGCTATTTCTGTTAGTTACTTATCCCATATACAAAATATTTACATGTCTTGAGAAGAAAAGAGGCTTAGGAGTGGGAATACTTTTTTTGTAGGAGAGGTTTGTTTGAAGAAATATTACAACATATAAAAAATATGGAACGCTTCATAAATTTGCATGTCATCCTTGTGCAGGGGCCATACTAATCTTCTCTGTATCGTTCCAATTCTAGTATATGTGCTGCTGAAGCAAGCACAGGAGTGGGAATATTTTTCAAGGCTAGCCTAGCTATCCTCTGTCCAACAGACATTGACAGTGAAATACACAGGTAGTGTGTAACTATGAAAAAATTAATAGATCTGTTCTGATTTTCAAGGAAAAATTACATAGTTTTCCAGGGACACAGGACTTTTGTTTGTCATTCCTTTACAGTTTTTCTAAGTACAATTTTTCCTTTATTGTTTACCTTCCCAGTAATTATTTCTATAATGATTGTGCATACCTTCAAATACTGTAGTAGCACTTAGATTTAATCAGTGTTAGAGTGGTTGTGGTGACCTTCTACATCTGCATTTTCTGTTTAAGAATTCCGACCAGGGATTTCTCCTGAAAGGATTGTGTAGCTTAAGGGACAGGCTGGCATCCAGACAGGCACTGGGGAAATCAGCTGTGTCTCTGAGTTCCTGACTTTATTCAGATGCAATCCCAGTGCTACACACTGATTCTTTGCCTGTCTCTTTCCTCCCCGATTTCTCTCCCACCGTTTTTATTCTTCTCTTCCCCTGGCAACCCATTCTGGAAAGCCTTCTGTTTGTTGATGGTCCAGGTGCTTAGAGCTGCTGACCTAAAGCTCCCTGTGGGACTTCCCACCTAATAACATCCCTTGCTCAATCTCTACCCTCTTGTTTTCACACAAATTGTAAATGCCATTGGAAAATGACAGATTGGGGCAAATATTAATATGTCTTTTTCTTATGTAACATACTCTACATTATATCCTTTATCTGGTTCTTATTGAGTACTAATAAGGTTGTGCATAGCAGACACTTATAGAATTAAATTCATTTAAGTAGTTTTCAATTCATTGTCTTGAATTCTTCATACTGTTTGTATTTATTGCTGGTGGAAGACCTTAAATTTCTGGCATAGTTTTAAAATATATAATATAATATGGTTCATACATAATCATTGCTACAAAGTAAATTCATATTCCTCAAAGGAAAATGTCAAAAATCTTTAAAATGTGTAGCTTTAAATAGATACAGTTAGATAGGGGAAGTACAAAAGTTTTGTTTTTCTTTTTATGAGTGCTTGGTGAAACTCTTTTGGAACTTTTAAAAAACTCTTTCTATTTATTTTTAGCCAACAACTCTGGTGTGAACAAGCGGCAGATCACAGACCTTGTGGACCAGAGTATACAAATCAATGCACACTGTTTTGTGGTCACAGCGGATAATCGGTATATTCTTATCTGTGGATTCTGGGATAAGAGCTTCAGAGTTTATTCTACAGAAACAGGTAATCTTAACTATAAAACAGCTTATTCTCTTCTGTGTGTGTGTGTGATATTAAAACCAGAGCTTAATATGAGACCGTACTTAGTGGTATAGGCATTTCCATCATTTGCCAACTTTGATTAATGGTTATAATTTGAATTTAATGTTCATATTATAGGCTAAATAAATTTAATTCTATCCCTTCTGAATTTTAGCATGATTCCTGAGTTCATAGGAAAAATGGGGCTGTTGCTCCTTCACTAAATTCATGTCCAGTAAAAGACCTTAGCAGGGCATAATGGTGCATGCCTATAATCCCTACACTCTGGCAGGCTGGGGCAAGAGAATTGCAAACCCAGACCGGGCAATTTAGTGACTTAGTGAGGCCCTGTCTCAAAATACAAAATTCTAAAAGGGTGAGGGGGGGAAAAGGAACTAGAGATGTAGCTCAGTGTAAAGGCCCTGGGTTCAATCCTTAGTACCACCAAAAAAATAAAAACATGACATATCACGTAAAGGTACAAATTTCCAATGATGATTATCATCAGATTGTATACCTAAAATGTACCAATAAATTTAATGAATAAAAAAACATAAATAAACAAAAACCCTTGAAGTTCTTACTGTGGTAAAACTCATGTAAATAATCATGATTTTATAAGATTTGTTCGTAAAAATTTCAAGTAACATTCTTGTATCCATTGGAAGCAAAAAGGCACTTGTAGTTAGATAATAATTTTCTTATAAAGTCGATGCTATATAGATTCACTTTTCACAAATCTAGTAAAATAAAGTCAAGCTTGTTACCATCTAAATAAAGACAGTAAATTAAATGAAACTGTTCTTTCTGTGTAGGAAAATTGACTCAGATTGTGTTTGGCCACTGGGACGTGGTGACATGCTTGGCCAGATCTGAGTCGTACATTGGTGGGGACTGCTACATTGTGTCTGGGTCTCGGGATGCCACCTTGCTTCTCTGGTACTGGAGTGGGCGGCACCATATCATAGGCGACAACCCCAACAGCAGTGAGTATCTATCTACAGTTGACCTGTCAGACTATAAATCCACTAAAGAGATTTTGCTTTTTGATTTCCTGAATCGTTTTCTTAAGACTGTAAGGATTTTAAATATAAAAGGTTAAGTGAAAAAAAAATCTTACTGGAAATTGAACACAGTGTCCCAAGTGTAAAATTAGAAACTACTATCACTTACAACCTAGAGAGACTGCCAAGATCCCCTCAGACTGAGCTGCTCAGCTGCCTTTCCACTACCCAGACTCCCCACACTTCAGAAACTTCACCTGGTCCATTTAAGCCTTGTGCTTTTTCTGAGCTGAATATAATATCAGTCTTTCTCTGAATTTCCATGAGATTTTATTTCTGTCTCAGTTAAACTTCTTCCTACCATATAGTATAGTGAATATCTCCATTTATTCATATACTGCCAGTGGTTGGATATCCCCTTTGGATTAGGCATTGAGGATGCAAACACTGAATAAAGTAAGTTGTCTTCTTTGGAATACTTCTTCAACTATATTTTTATTCACCAGTGTTCCCTGAGATATCTGTAGGAAAAGAAGAGAGGCTCTCTAGTAAAACAATTTGGGAAAGCCTTGCATATACTATTAACTTTCTATGTAAGCTCTGAAAGTCCTACACAATAAACTTGCTGATTTTATTTGTTTAACTGTCTTTCAAACATATTTTTATCCATTGAACTTTGTGTGCATATATGAGCAAGTATTAGTCCTTGAACTGTTCTCCTGAGAAAACACTGAATTAGATCATGAATGTCTCTGAGTCCTGACATAATGACACACACAAGGGGTAAATATTAAGTAATAAATGTGCCAGATAAGAGATGGCCTAGAAATAATTATTAATTACTAAGCTTTCAATAGTTCAGATGTATTATTTCCTATAAAATATACAATGACTTTTTTGAAGTGTTAAAAATGCAAGCACATAAGCCAAATTATTCAAATTGCAATTCATACATCAATCACAACTTCAAAATGTGGATTTAGAATATCGATGACAGCAGAGATATAATTAGTCTACCCCAGGAGCCCTGTGTATTGAAACTGATCTACTCTGAGAGTAGATAAGAAATCTACAAAATGCCATGTTCCAGCTGTGTGGCTGGAGGCTGCTTCCCTCCGGTGCTGGCTGTGAGATAACTGAGGATGGAGGTGAACTGCACACCTGCCCTGCAAGTTTCACGGCCTCCCCCAATTCATAACACATTGTGCAGAAAAGGGAGCTGGCTTTTGATGAACAGGAGCAAAGGCTCCATCATAGTGCAAGAGCAACAAGAAATAGATGCTTTGAAGAAGCTACTGGGATGTTGAACTAGATGGAACAAATGACATGAAGTTTTGTTTTTGTTGCCCATAACTAGAGTTGAAAAACAGAGGATTGAGAAACTAAAAGTGTATTGTAAAGAAACATCTCTTGGTATAAAGAGAAAGTGAGTATATTAAATATGTACTTCTGCACTAAATTATGAACTGGGATGTGATACTGATTTAAAGGGAAAATATTCAGTGTAGCTGGATTTCCATCCAGTTCAAGTAATTATTTGCCAACTCTACACTATTAATAAACATCCTAGTCTAAATACTTAACATCTTTATTTACTCTTCCAAAACCTTGTCTCTAAAAATGTTTTAATCTGTAGGAGAATTCTATACATAGGGCTTTATGCGTTGGCGTGTATACACATGCATATAGTACACTTGACCCACCAGTTGGGCTTTATATTACATTATCACACATGTATATAAAACATATATATAAATATATATTTCATCTTAAAGTATTTTCACATATTTCCAATCTTTCTTTATTGCCACAGTAATGTAGCAGTCCTTAAAGATAGGGGCCAGGAATTTAGCTTAATGTTTCCACCACCTGCCTCACAAGCTCAAGGTACTGAGTTCAATCCCCAGTACCAATAAATAAATAAAGTTCAATTAGGCATCAAGTATAATATCTTACATATATTGACAAAAATTATAAATCTGTTAGAAAAAAATTTAAAGAAATAGAAGAGAGCTTTAAATCTAATAGTCACCAAATTCAAAATTTAGCTTACAAATAACCAAATATTATTTTCCCAAAAGGGGATTTATTTCTTAAAAGCTGCCATCTAGTAGCAGGGATAAGATATTTTTAATAATGTACTGCTATAAAAGAAAGAATTTTGCTTGGGGGAGAGAGATAAAATAGTTTATTTAAAAAAAGGAATTTTAAGGAAAAATGTTAAATGATAGTAATTATCTGGATTAACTGTATTCTCATGATCTTTTTAAACAGAAAAATGGTTGACTGTCCCTTGTAACTATGATCCATCAGTTAGCAGAAAAAGTTAACTATAATGCTAAATGTTTAAAGTTCCTTACAGCAGGAGCTGTGGAAATACAAATTGTTTATATTAATCCTTATGAACAAAACCATGAATATTATATTTATTGTAAAACATTACTTTATTAAAGCCTTACAGCCAAAATATCCTTAAGAAGTTGTAACAGATGATTATCAATCTGTATTTTTCAGTATTGCCTCCATATATAAGAATTCATTTCTTTATCAGAAGCTCATCATCAAGGGCTGGGGATTTAGCTCAGTGCTTCTGCCACCTGCACTACAAGCACAAGATCCCAAGTTTGATCCCTGGTATCAAAAAAAAAAAAAAAAAAAAAAAAAAAAAAAA